CCCTGCTCTCTTCGGGGATCTCCTTGGCACTGGACGCACCACCGTGAGAGAGGACCTGAAGCGAAGGAAGGTCGTAGCCACTCAGCACAATTTCGCGAACCATAAACCCGATTCCGAGGATAATTTGAACTTTTTGCTCCTGAATGATCTTGGCTGCTTCGTCCATATCGTATTTTGGCATCAAGCACACTTTGTACCCTCGAGACATACTTGGGCATAAACCGGATTGAATACCGGTCGAGTGGAAAAGGGGGATGAGGAGGAAAGTGGAAGCCTGCTCGTCGTCGGATTCAGGAACGGGAGGAGCTATTCCACGGCGAACGTAAGCTCGGGCTGTGGTGTAGCCGGAATTGAGACCAGCCGAGAGGAACTGGCGTTGGGTGGCAGCTACACCCTTTGGCTTGCCAGTGGTACCAGAGGTGTAGAGGACAGAGGCCATGTCCTCTGGCTTAACGTCGATCTTGGGAATGGCATCGGCGCCTTGAGCTGTGGAAGAAAACTTCTTGTCCAACTCGTGCGCGTCGAAGACCTTGTCTCCACCTTTACCACCAGCGAACTCGCGCTCGTTCTCGGGAAGGATCCCGCCAATGGCACGAGGGAATACAGCAACACCGCTGAGGCCACTGTGAGCACCAGGGGTGCAGCCAAAGTCGTCGACACAGTCAGGACCGGCCGGTCCAAAGAGCTTCTTGACGAAATCGGTGTCAGCGTCGCGCAATCTGCGGAATCGCTCGACATCGAAGAGGGCAGCTTTGCAACCCACGTCACGGATGCAGTCATAGATTCCTTGACCAGGAAGGAAAGCGTTGACAAGCGCAGGAACTGCTCCGAGCAGGTGCACGGCGAAGAAGGCAACCACAAACTCGACGTGGTTGCGCCCGACGATGGCGACTCGATCGCCCTTCTTGACTGAGAATTGGCGAGAGAGCCATGTGGCAGTGAGGAGAGCGCGCTTGTGGACCTCGGCGTAGGTGTGAGATTCGCCTTCGGCGGCGATGCAGGGATTCGAGCCAAAGTTCTGTCAACATTATCAATGTCATCATCCGAGCCGTCAGTGAGGACACAAATGTAGATGATTGAGTCAGAGTGAGAGAATCAAACACTTACAGAATAAGAAGACATCCATAGATCGCGCACGGACTGGGGCAGCTGCTTCCAACAAGTGGTGAGTCTACCATTGACGAATCTCACTTCGGTCTCCAGCATACTACCTTTGGCAGTGAGAAGAGCATCAACCTTTTCGAAAGGGACAAGGTCATCCTTGTCACCCTTGAAGTCTTCAGGAATCGTTCTTTTGGGCTTAGCGCCGGGAGAAGAGCCAGGAGAGGTCATCTTGCGAGGTATCGCAGCTCAAGAATGGACGGTATATCGAGAAAGAGACGGCGCTAAATGCTCGATGTTGTCGATTTACGAAGGGAAGAAGATGCGATCGAAGCTTCCTTGATGTGGACGGCGAGGAGATCGGGAAGTCAGGAACACGTTTGGATGATTGAGAAGGAGGTGAGATGGGTGCGCGGAGTGGAGTGAGGGTCCAGACAGGAAGGAAATTTGAGCTCAAGAGTCGCGGAGAGAACAACAAGGGTAGAGGCGACCTACAGGACGCTCCGCCCATGAGATCAAGGAGTATCAGGTAGCACCAGAGTGCGTGGCTTAGGGACGCCTGGATTGAGCATCTGTGATTCGTTGTCAGGATGGGACTACGGAGACTGGTTCAACCGAGAGGCGACTGGGGTTGGGAAAGTGTGGAGAGGAGGCCGTCAGCACGGCTGTATTAGCGGTCAAGTTCCCGGCACACCGGTCGATTGGAAGAGCGGTGGAGGGCGCGGAGCGGCGGCAGAGCTTGAAAGAGTGCTGAATATTTTTTCCGCGGCATCGACAACATCATTTTGCTAGCGATCAAGGATGGCACGGGGGTAGCACCCTTCTGCATCGATTTTAACTGCATACAGTTTCCTAGATTCCTTGGAGGTACCGTTAAAGGATCTGAGACATCCCCGTGATGAGGGCTGAATTCCAGATGAAAAAACAAAAAGGAAGACAGAGAAAGCCAAATCTTTGGATTTGTGGGGTCAACATGGCAAATGCCGGCACATGACCCCACTCAAACGCGGTCTCAACACCTCACCGGCGTTCGGCAACAACGGTCGAAGCCTCCGCGTAACCATGGAATATCAGCCTGGCCAGCTTCGAGTCTGGTTCAGATAAAGTACTGTCGCTCGATTTTCCCTTCAACGGTGTGTTTGATTCCCATGGAGTCATGACTGGATCCCGTGTACCAGTCTCTTGAAAGCATGGATTTCGGCGCCAGCCTTCTCTTCTGACTTCTGAAATTCCAGAATTGTCCATGCTGGTAAGTCGACAACGTCAACATAAGCAGGTGCCGAAAATGGACGCCATTTACCAGGGCCTCATAATGAAGAGGTCAACATAACGCATAACTGCGTTATCATACAGGCTCAACTCTTCTTCATTCCAGTCTCGTACCATTCGAAACAAAAAGACGATCGGGGCAGTGTTTCCGTAGCTATATGAAAAGACAATGTGAAAGAGCGTGAGTGAGAAAGGCCACCTCTCGCTTCTGGTTCGAGGCCCTTTTGTTGGGTCATATCCCTCGAGCGATTGCTGTACTATTTGTCAAGTGTATCCGTAAAGAACGTGTAGAGTTGGTGAGAGGCAAATCTGTATGCCTTGTAATAATGCTCGGACCTGAGCGGTTTGAACGCTGTGGTTCGACGAGTTCATTTGTGTCACTGTGAGATCCATCCGAGGGTTCAGGTGGTCTACAGAGCGAGAGTCTCGCTATCGTTGATGAGAGGTCCACTGCCGCATAGTCCAACTTGGTTTCCCTGCGCATCTTTGATGCAGGTGTTCTGCTTGTCGCCAAGTAATCCTGGCAGATCGATCTCTGGCAATTGCGTTTTGCCCAGCAGCGGCAGCAAACTAGTCGGCAATGGCAGGCTAGGCAGCGTCAATGCACTCGTAATGTCTCCGATGATGGAAGTCGCCCCACCCACCACTCCAGTTGGTTGCGGCAAGCCGCTCACCAGAATGCTCAGAGGGTTAATGACACCACTGGCGGCTGTTGCAAGCGTCTGGGCTGGCGTGACCAAAGACGTTTTGGTGCACTCCTTACCATTTTCGATGGTGGTATATTCGGTCGGGATTGGGGTGACGGTGGCGGTAGCAGCAGCGGCAATCGCAGAGGAAGCCATGGACTGGATGTCTTGAAGGTTCTTCATGAGCATTGAGGGCAAGGCATTCAGCGCTCCTTGAGCGAGGTTGGCGAGCACTTCGACCTGGGGAGGTGGGGTGGGACCTGATACGGCCACGGAGAGCGTCGCGCTTGGTAGTGAGTCTTGAAGCTCGGCAGGAAGAGTCGGAGAAGGGATCGTAGTAGTAATGAGTTTGGTGACGCCGTCAATCACCGAGGTGACCACAGATTGGATCTCACTGGCGATCGGAGGAAGCGTCGGAGTGGGGATGAGTTCGCCCAGGCTCAGAGAGGGCAAAGTGGGAGAGGCTTGGAGTGACAGGGCCATCATGCTGCGCGCATCGGAAGCGATACAAGAGAGAGTGAGGTCAGTCTTCGGTGCTTATGTGTGCGGATCATGAAGTTGTGGGCGGAATGATGCGTAGTGAAGTTTCGTTGCTTTTGATGCTTACAGTCGCTTCTCGACAGGAACAGCCAGGGTGGTTGAGACCGCCAGCATGGCCACCAAGGCCGTCGCCGAGCTTGCGAGGAAAGTTCCCTTCATGATTACTGGCCTACTACTTCCTCGATAGTTTGACAAAGAGGTGGTGATAGTTGAAACTGGTGATTGTGTCGGACTCAGCAAGGTGAAGACGATGGCTGGGTCTTCGGGAACAGTGAAGGCAAGAATCAGGTGGGGATAAGATGGTGACAAGGAGCGGAAGGGGAAGATCGGAGGAAGGTGAAGAGGAAGGGCTGCCTCTTGAACCTTCAAGACCTTCCGGTGTCTTTTATTCAATATTGTCCTTTTCCTGGTTGGGAAAGCTTGCCCGCAGGATGTTTGAAGGAACGACAGGCGTCTGTCGTGGCCGTCCGGGGGCGAGGCGTAGATGAGGAGTCAGAGGTCGACCGTTGTTTATGTTTGCTCATCACCATATATGCGAGCTAATTGCAGTGTCTGCACTATTACGTCTTGCGATTCTTCCTCCTTTTTGTTTGCCAGGCCATCAGCGAACTGGGCATCTGCGTGGACTCTTTAGGGCAGCGGACTCTGTCACGTGTAAGTACTGTATAACAGATAGATACTCGATCGAGTCCCGGCAATCAACTGAAGCGCAGCATGATCGTCTCTCCGAAGGAAGACTGTTGACAGCCTCGCTTCGACGCTCGTCCATCCCTTGAGTCTCCTCACGACAACATCTTCTCGCCTACAGGGGCAATAATTCTGGTTTGCAAAGCGAAGCGAAAGGATGATCGACAATTCTGCTGGAGACACGCTCACGACACTGGTTCCTGTTCGCCTGGATTTGTGCGGGAACACACATACGAAAGCGGCACATGAGCACGACGCTCGTTACGTGTCATATCAGGTTGACGGCGTTCGGAAGGGGAAAGCGTGTATTAAGTCTGCAGTGTTTGACATTCCTCGAACATTCGACCCACATCAAAGACGCGTTTGCGCAGGCGCTGCGCCGGTATCCTGTGCCCTGCAAGCAGGACTCCATCCTTGTCTTGGGAAATCGGAGATCGATACCTTGTCATTGGGAACTTGTATTTGCACAAGCAAATTTTTGGCAAGTCTGCATGTATATGTACGGCAGCATCTGTGATCGAAAAGCCCAGGGATCACTTGTCATGCTGCTGCCGGTTTTCAGGCTGTCTCTGAGCCTACCTTTTCTTTATCATGGAGGCGTCGAGAGTTCGAAAAGGCACGGCTGTCGACTCGGCGCTTATAAGAAATAGCAAAATTTAAGGGAGAAAAAAAAAGAAAAAAAAACATCCTAAAAGACAAGAATTTAAAAAATGGAACGGGGCCAACCCGGAATCGAACCGGGGACCTCTGTCAACTTAGTGCATCCACCTGAATGGAGGTAAAGCCCTAAGACAGCATAATAAGCCACTATACGATTGGCCCACATCCGTGCATACGGATTCTATATAAGATATGATATCATATTATTTCCAATCCCTCCATCAATTAACTTTCTAAGTTTGTACGACCCTGGAAAACGGCTTTGGCGGCAAGTGCGTGTCTCAGTCTAGCTGCCAGCTTTCCCTTGCCACCGAAAACGGTCAATTCAACGAGTTTACTGCGACGTCGAACCAACGTCAGACTCATGAAACATGGCATCAAGCTGTGACGAATGCTCTTCTATGAATCACAGTCATCGCGAGGAGCTGAAGTCCAAGAAACGACTAGAACTACAAAGGACGTTAAATGAGGATGTATGCATGACCGAAATCAACATAGCCGAGCGGTAAAGAACCCAAGATGAACGTCAGCTGGTGATCAGCATCAATCACATTTGCTGGAGCTGCCACCGAAGCGGTGAGTTAGGTGGACGAACAAGATCAAGGTGCATATCTGCCTCCGTTGACGAGCTTGACGAGCATCACAATGGAGTCCAGGCAAGTTGAAGTGGACGCCATAGAGGCGCTCGCCGTCTGTGATGGCAGGACATGGAGTTAGCGACTACAGTGTCGGTCGGTCCACTATCCATTGAAGCATGACTGCCGACAGGAGAAACGGAGGCATCAGCACTGAGAGGGGCTTCTGTTCGCCAAACAGGACGACACCCTCGAAGAGAGACAGACTCTTGGTTGTCGGTGACTGCTTGGCTAGTCAAAGCGCCCCTTGCCGCGATCATGGATTATACAGGACAGGCGAAGAAATGGTCCGCTCCGGCCGCCATCACCTTGCTGAAAAGCTGGTCGACAGCCACATAAGGCGATGATAGGGTCGCTGACGGAGCTGTCGGACTGTACTTCGAAGAGATTGAGACCAAGATCTCGGTTGGCAGAAACCAAGGTGCACTGATGAGAGCAAAGAGACAGACGACTGATCTGCGCTCATGCTCTGGAGGCCTACCAACGAAAGGAAAGTGCGAAGCTTTGACTGGCTTGCGACCCTCGCTTTTATCGATGTAGACCAAGGACGCAAAGCCCGTATCTTGTGCAACCTGCCTCGATACCTGTCTAGATGGCGAAACGTCGAGACCTTCTGGCTCAATGCTGAGACAGAAGATACACGTGGACCAAGGTCAGCGGTCAAGAAATAGGGTCGGATCCTCTCGCGGTCCGTGAAAATTTCGAGGATGTAAGACAAACCACACTATGGTCTCGCTTAAGCAGTAGTCGCATGGTCGGACACCCTTTTCCCACATGAACGGGCATCGATTTTGGACTAGCGGCTTCATTTTTGTCCATGCTCGGACAGCTCTTCCGGCCGCCGACAGCTTGCTGTTTGAGCTGATCAAGCCTTCCGGCTCTTTGCAAAACGGACAAAAGACCACGAGGAGCGATGACAGTAAAATAAAATGAATTGCTATGACAGTCAGCTCGGGAAGATTGATTTGATACCAAGCCTGTCTCGCGTAGCTATCAGAAGATGCACAAAAATTGCATCAAACTTGACTCTGCTCCAGTTGTTCGTACCTCTGCAGTGCTGCCTAGACTAGTGACGCTTAGCGCTTCAAGTTGAACTGGACATTCTCCGAGTGATCCATCATAGTTTTGACATCGGCGGCGTTGACCTCGACAGAGAATGTTCCACTTAGAGAATGATGGGGAGTTGCATGATTGCCTTCGAAGAGTCGTAGCAAGGCTGAACAAGTCGCATGATCACCTTCCTTTTGACCCTCCCTGCTGTGCTCTAGTACAGTTTCGCCGCCCATGGTGCCATGCGTTCCCACCGCCACTTCGGCTCTGTCCAGCTGAATCGTTCTACCCCTATTCGGAGCTGCTCGCTTGACCTCCCACGCACCCCGAATGTCGCGGGCAGCATCCGAAATTGGTTTGTCCTTCGAATCTGGACGAAGATGCTGCAAAGTGTCACAGCGCACTTGCAGGACGGTGCCTCAAAATGGACATAAGTTAGGCTCAGGGCGGGGGAAGGAATTCATTCAGCAATCTGGAGTCAGATCTTGCATAGAAGGTAGTGTAATTGAAACGAGGTGGCCTCGGATTGACGGTTGCGAAGAAATGTGCCCCATTGTACCAGGCTTGCTGCAAATCACCGAACGCGCCAAGGAGTGCCAGCATAGAACTGATGCCATCAACAAAAAGGTATACCTAAATTGCCGCCCGACTCGATTCTCCTTGACTAACGACCGTTGATCTTGTCTATTTAGCACCGAGTACCAATACTCACGCCGCCCAAGTTGTGACCGAGACACGCACAGCACAGTGAGTTAGAGTAAGTGAGCGTTTGCTTGACGTGGCGCTATGACCCTACAATGACAGAGTGACGCTAACTTAGCCTCGACCTCGAATTGTTTGAACTGAGTTGGACCGGTTTCGAGCCTATGTTCCGCGCGTGACAGCCTCGACATGACACAAGTTGTACAGCGTGAATGTAGGTGTGGCAGCAGCCAGGATTCGAAGCAGACCAGATCTGTCTAAGGTTGAACACTCCCGACTGTGGCAGTTGACCTTGACTGTGCAGCATATACGACGAACCAACGACTCTGTAGGGCGAGCTGCTCAAAGAGGAAAGCGAGAGAATTTCGCTTACAGTAGCATCACAGTAGTGAGCCAATGCTCCGGTGCAAAGCTTGGACCAATCAAGCTTGTTGGAGGCGTTTCATGGCAGCAAGAGAGTGTGTCTTGCGAGAGCGAATGTTGAGCAGACCGGATGAGCAGCAGCCGGGATTGTTCTCACGGTCTTGCTTGGAGCATCAGGTCAGCTTTTAGCGCATATTTGTCCAGATCTCTTGAAGACCGTCTGAGGTGGTGTCTTATATGGGCTGTGTACCATTTTGGCACGGGAGAGGGGGCCGGGACTGAAGCCAATCTATGGTTCGCCTGTTCGAAGCGAGATTTGGCAGCTGGGCCCCAAAAAGCATGAGAAAAATCCAAGAAAATATCAAGATAAAAGGAAGAGTTCGGCTCGACCGCTTTTCTCTTATATGGGAGCCTTTGTCTGTTACAGTGTTCCGACCGTGCTCGCTTTTCAGCGATGGGTAACCCTAACTATTGAATATTATCAAATCCACGGACAAGTCTTTTCCTCTTTCTTCTTCGTTTTGGAATGATTCTACACAAATCTGGCTCGGACAGGTATATCTTCTATCCGCGACAAAAGTGAGGCAAGTCATCATCATAGTGTATGTACCAGACTCGGTCACCGAGCTCATCTGTTGTCAACTTGCAGAGAGGAACAATTTTTGTTACTCTACTCCAGGCCTGACACTTTGCTTGCACGGTTTGGTTAATGAAACCGACACCAAATCAAACAACTGAACCCAAGGGTGTGTGGTGACATGTTTTAATGTCTTGTAAAACGCCGTCTTGTTTCCAACTCTTGGGCATGATAGGTAAAATTGCAGCACACCACTCTGTCGAAGAAGCAAAGACCGGGACAGGGCGAGACAGATAGCAATCTCAAACCAGCGTCCTCTCCTGCATCCAATAGGAGCTGACTTTTGTCAAGAAAATGAAAAATAAAAACAGTTAACCCTAACAAAAACGAAAACCCGAAGAAAATAAAGCTTTAAAGTTGATCTTCTGATCATGATCTATACTATGATGCACAGGACACTACAGTGAAATTAGGACATGACGTGAATAAGAAAAATGAAAAATAAAATAAAATAAAGAAATTAAAAAGAACAAGAAAAGAAAAAGAAAAAGAAGGACGCACCTCTGTTTCTTGTATCTTATGTTTCAGATGTGCTTGTGTCACACACTGAATTGCACTCCGCTCTCAAGGTGCACAATCTGGCACACTTTGCACAGAACACAACCACTCTATCTTCACAAACTATGCTGTCTTTTGTTCCAGCTCACCGAACGCCATCAAAAGCGCATTTAATCCTTCACGTCGTAGCCAACGTACAGTAGCAGCTTTCTGCCTCGAGCAAGCAAAGCAAGCACACCTTCCTCTTCGGGATTTTCACCATCTCATCCTTCCTTGCCTTGAATCTCAGCGTGATTCGGATCCTCCCATTCTTGATCCACGACCATCCTTCATCATCTCTCACCATACCACGACTCTCTGAATGTCCTCGTCCACCAGGTCCATCTCTCCTGAGCTTGCTTCATCGCCTATCGATTTCCACACTCATCCCCACCATCCCTCGGCTTTCTTTTCTACCCGCCTGGATCCGCCTAATCTCATTTCGGTCTCATTGCAAGAACCGATATTGAAAAAGTAGGATCGCTCCAAAGCGCCACAACGAGACAAAGCGCAAGTCACTCACGCAACGCTGCGCTTGTGCGAGCCGCGCTTCTTCGGTGCCACGTTGCCTCATTGTCAACGCTTGTTGTCCTGCAATTCGAGGCAAATTCCAGCGTCTTCATTCAGCAGGCTTCCACCGACGGCTGCAGATCGCCTCAGGCATCGAAGTTGTACAGCAACCTGAAATGCATCCCTAACTTTCCACGACAGCTGCCATCCAGTCACACACAGGTGCACACATACCGCGCTTAGAAATTAGACGCACGGACGACACAAACAGAGGCATTCCAATCCGACGAGCATCTTTCTCATCGACTGAACGACGGCGGATTGTAATCCGCTCATACGATCCACTCGAATAAAAACAATCCCAACCAACCACAACATTCTTCAATCAAAATGCATCCATCAATCGCAAATTTGTCTTCGCGGCTTCACCTCTGCTCGGGCGATGTACCACCACCGCTTGTTGGTGCCTCAGCTACGCTCGTCGAGTCGACGCGAGATGGCATCGCCTTCGGTGCGAAAATCTACCTGTTCGGAGGTCGACTCGTCAGCAGCCGTCGCATGGTCAACATACTCTACTGCCTCGATTTGGACGAGATGAAATGGTCAAGGATCTCACCTGCCACCAAATCCAGGTCAGAGGCTGCAGAAACATCGGAACAGCCGCAACCGCGCTACTTTCACTCGGCCGACTTGTGGCAAGACAAGATTCTCTTCTTTGGCGGTATGGG